CAGGAAAATTCATCCTGCTGCATTTGCTACACGCTCGCCTAGCGAGCTGCTAGCGAGCGTTCGCTACATGCTCGCCTAGCGAACTGCTAGCGAGCAAAAACAGAAGCTACAGACTTCTTTCGCTACCTCGTTCGCCACAGCGAACCCCCAGCGAGCCATTTGCTACCCCATTCGCTGCCAGCGTAGGGGATCAAAACCATTATGTCTCAAGTCTGGGACCATTCGCTACGCACTCGCCTAGAGAGCTGCTAGCGAGTGTTCGCGACATGCTCGCCTAGCAAGCTGCTAGCGAGGGTCTGCGAACTGAACTTTTCCAACTGTTCTGAACTCAAACACCCGATGAAATCACCCGATAAATTCCAACTTGTTTCCAGTAGCCTTAGTCTAACATATATCGACTAATCGACATCCTCTAATCACGTTTCTAACCATTAAACAACGATTTCTATCGATTAATCCAACTTCGACCTAGAAATGGAAAGTGTAGAAAACTACCAAACAAATCCAATCTAGCACAAACATGATCATATACATTATTAAGATGATAAAACTTCTCACCTTACCTGATTAATCGCAAGCTAAGGTTGATCTTGATGATTCTAGGTTTTGCTCCACTTTCTCCTCTTTCTCTTCTCCTCTTTTCTTTCTCTTGTTTTTCTTTCTAATGTTTCTATCTTTTCCTTTTTTTTCTCTCTTATCCTCATATTCTATTTTCTTTCCTCTCCAATTCTTTCCACACACTTACCAATTAATTCTCACAAAATATATACTTAACATTATCACTAACGCCCAAAATACCCTCCAACTTATTTTTACTCGAAACTCTCAAATTCGGTAAAAATAGCACAATATGCAAACATAACATATTTAACACATAATTTCCACATTAAAATAATATTCACTTAAATAAATCAAATAAGGACTCAATAAAAAGGGAATTCAGAATCAGGGCGTTACAACCCTCTTGGAAGTAGTTTTGTTGAACGAGTATTCGTGAAAACATTACTACTTTCTACTTAGGAGCCTGTGACACTGAGAACTTTTAGTTACCTCTTACCCCTACTTGGCCTATTAGGCCGTAGTGCGATGATTATGAGGGAGTAGTCCCGAAGTAGTTGATACACAATACTACACTTGGACAAGACTCTCTTGAGAATATTATCGACTACCAATTGATTTGGGAAATTGATAATATCCAAAAGATGAGTTGTTGACTCTAAGAACCTCTTAGAACCTCTTAGAACCCTATTCTGCAGATTTGAGAACCCCTAGTACGCACCATGTGGTTGGTTCTTTACCCAGACTCCATGTTGTAATCTTGAACCTTTGATCATGTTATGTATGTTTTGCATCCTGTCTTGCATCGTATTGCATTGCATTTACATCTTTGCATAGTTCATTGCATACCATATGTTTGTCCGATCGCTCATTGTTAGCATATTAGAAAGTTTATGATTTATCATTAATTGATTTTCTTTTAAAGATAATAAGAGATTAAAATCTATAGTTTTTTTTCTGTTATTTCTTTTTGTTTTAACTAATTATAATTTGTAATATTAAAAGAAAAACCTTTTTTTTATTAGTTATTAGTTTTAATATTTAAAAAATACCTAAAAATATCTTAACCATTTTGTTTTAAACCATAGTTTTTGTTTTGTCTTAGTTTTATATTTTATGATTTTTATTTTTTTAGATCCTTTTATTCATCATAAATCATCATGTTTTCTATATATTTATTTTTGTTTGATTGTTAATGGTAGACGTGTAGTGTAGTTAATATGTATGTGTGTAATAACTGTGTTATGCATTAACGAGAGTTCATGTGCACAGTTATTATAATATTAAAGTGAGAATTGTGTTGCTAAATGTTATTTGTGTGATACTGTAATGAATGAGCATAATATAGTGGTTAATAGTATTAAATGTGTATTGTCATAGTGTGTAAATATTGTGTAATGACAAAAGCAAAAACCAAAAGAGTTTTCGATCTGACCTGATCAGAAGGGGACCATTGGCTTGCCATGTGCCGCTGACCTGTTGTTTGTTCACCGGTATTGAGGAGGAAATGGGGGATGTACCTGCAAGACACTCCGATGCCAAAGTGAGAGTTGGACAGAGTGACGGCAAATACAGAAGAGAGGTTAAGAATTGAATACCTGACCCTCTTGTGCAATAGGGTATTTATAGAAAGACCCAGGCGCTAGGCCAACGGTCATTTGAGTTGGGCTGGATGACCAGGCCCAACCCAAAGGACTGCTAGGGATTACTTGGCATAGTGAAGACCAGGACATGGTCTTCGCCCTAGTTCAGCTGCTCCGTGATCTTCGGAAGGTGGGTTTGACCAACTCTCTCGAAGGTGGACAGTTGGTTGGTGACGTGTCCCTGCAGAGAGGAGCACGTGGAGAACGAGGGAGATACACGTTGTTTTTCCTGACGGGGATGTGCCATGCCCGACAGGGGCAGTATCTGCTTGACGCCAGGCGCACTGCTCTTCTCTCACGAGGAGGTCATGTGCCATACTCGACCTTGGCGATGAGGGCCCCTATTGGGCCTTCCCCCAAATGTTGTTGGGCTGGGCCTGCCTGGTCAGGTCGGGGCCCAGACCAGAACAAAAGCCCCCCCAAGTCGGAGTTCTGGGGGTGAGAGAGCAAGGACTTGATGACGTTGTTTCTAGGTGGAAGAACGGGCGCGGGGAGAGACTCTTTCGGGCCCCGAGGCATCCGAGGTCGACGAAGGTGGTCGGTGAACTGGGGAAGTGGAGATCGAGGGTCGTGACTCTTTATTGCGCCACGTGTAAAGCGTTAAGAGGGACAAGTGGGGCGGCTACCCTAGGGTACTCGAGTGCCTAGGGGCACTTCGAGTCCCGTGCTGAGGGTATAAGAAGGAAGCTCCCTGCCCATTCCTCACTTTTTCGCCTCTGCTTGCTTTTTCCCGTGACGACTGACTTGCTTCGTGTCTGCCCGCCGTTGCCACCATAATTACCGCCGCGTGTTCCTCCGTCACCAAAAACCAAGTAAGTTCCCTTCCTTTATCTTTTTCATGTTCCGTATTTTAGATTTTGGCGTTGGGGTGTGTTGAATACCCCGAGGAAGGAGGTGAACCTCCGCCACCATAGGTGGTGGTTCTCCGTCAATTTGATGAAAGTACCAAGGACAGGCGAGAAATGTTTGAATGTCTCAGGGGCAAACACTAAGTTTAGGCAAATATGCTGAAAACGCGCGAGGGATAGTTTTAAGTACCCCGGGGACAAATGCTATGTTTAGATGAATGCCCCGAGGACGGGTGAGGGATATTTTTGCGCACCCCGGAGGCAGATGCTAGGTTTAGTTGAATGCCCCGAGGGCGGATACCCTGTATGGACCTTCCCCTTATCGTGGGCGTTGTCCTCGTCGCCCTTTCACTTGTCTTGCGGTGGAAAGGTGAATTTGATCTTGGTTATCGAATTCATCGTTACCTTCTGCTTTTCATGTGTAAATGACCTCGTGGGCACCGGGGACAATGGATGTGGATGAAGAGCCGGAGGTTTCTAATTTCGAGGAAAGACCCCATCGCGTCGAGGAGTGGGTGGCCGAGGAGTCCCTGACCACGCCCTCATATTTTTCAGATAACCAGATCGGCGCTTTCGCCACCCTCGAGGACAGATACGAGGACGAGCCAAAAAATTGGCAGGCATATCGCCCGCATGAATACCATCGAATCTGTTCGTCTTATGGGAGGATGCGCTTTCCAAATTTCCACTGATTCTTATCTACAAACAATATTCTACTCTTTTTCCTCATCATATTTTTTCCCACCAAGTTTTTTTGTAGTAATATTTTAACGAGGCATATCCAAAACAAACATCCAAGGAGGAATGCTGTGAATAATTGGATGTTTGTCTCTCAATAATCACATTCCTTATTTATAGTGAGCCACCGGTGCATGGCCAGCGGTTATCTAGCACTGGGCTGGGTCGCCATACCCAATGTTAGTAACTGCTAGGGCTGAGCATCAAGTTTATGTGGTTGACATGTTTGGAAGATCTGGTAAAATTGATGAGGCTTATGAGTTTACAAAAGGGTTATAATCCAATGCAAGTTCAGGTGTATGTGGAATGCTTTTGACTGTATGCAACTATCATGGAGAAATTAAGTTGGGAAAAAAAGTTGCTGAAGATCTCTTTAAAATGGAACCTGAAAATGTTGGATATTATATATCATTGTCAAATATGTATGTTGCTACAGGAAGCTGGAAAGATGCTACTGAATTGAGACAATCTATCTATGAACAAGGATTAAGAAAATGTGCAGGCTATAGTCTTATTGACGTTGGTTTGGGATAAGAGGGAACAAAATATTTTGATTTTAGTATATATGATTATAAAGAAAATGTATTAAATTATACATATTATTTATTTATTTTTTAATACGTGTAAAAATGACAAACAAATTATCGTGCTTATCGAGTCAACAATATCATTAAAATTGTAAGCACGCACTCAAATATCTTCAATTAATTTTTTTTATCATCAAGTATGTCTTTATTAGTCATATTATTCTTTAAATATCTTTTTTTAATCAATTAAGTTTAAAATTACAACAAAAGAGACATTTGAAAAGATTCAAGGACTACGTTAGAATGCATGTACACATTCAAAGATTAAAATAAATACTCTATAATCTACTAATGGTTGAGGTGTGTACTTTTTTTAGGATAAATACGAAAGAAAGACATATACTCTATAAACATTGCATCATCCAATTTTCATTATACCGTATTTAAACAAGTAACCACCATTAGAGTGAAAATAAATTACAATTGAAAAAAAAATTTGTTCAACCAATTATAAATTGACATCTTACAAATAAATATAATGATTATTTGTAAAAGTAATCGGCCAAAAAAATTAGTTCAACCAATTATAAACTGACATCTTACAAATAAATGTAATGATTATTTATAAAAGTAATCAGCAACAGAGGTTTTAGAGGTCATGATTGTATATACATAGATGGATAAAATTACTCGTCATCCTCTTCCTCTTCCTCTTCCTCTTCTTCCTCTTCTTCACCCTCACCCTCACCCTCGGCAAAATTCCTCCTCCCTTTAAATTTCCCACCCTTGCCCCCTTTAAATTTTCCGCCCTTGCCGTATTTTCCACGCTTGAATTTTCCTTGGCCCGTCTGACCATATCCTCCACGTCCATAACGGCCATGGGAAACACGATTAGCACAAGAAGCGGCGGCACCAGCAATCAATCCGCCTATTCCACCCATTGCACCAATTGCACCCATACTTGCACCACTATTCCCGGCATGCCCAGAAGACCCTGTTGTAAGGCAATGAAGTTATATTTATGATTAAAATTATGCATAAATAACATACAAACGAAAAACAAATTGCAAATGCGAAGCTACCAATTTTTATATGGTAAAAGAAATATTCTTAAGAAAGAAAGGAATCATACCTGGGGCATGTGGTGGAGCATGTGAACTAGGATAACCAGTAGGTGGATAACCAGGATAACCACCGGCTGGAGGATAACCGCCGGCTGGAGGATAACCGCCGGCGGTAGGATAACCACCTGCGGGAGGATAACCGCTGGCGGGAGGATAACCACCTGCTGGAGGATAACCGCCGGCTGGAGGATAACCAGTCGAAGGATAACCACCGGCTGGAGGATAACCAGTCGAAGGATAACCACCGGCTGGAGGATAACCAGCCGGAGGATAACCCCCTTGATGTGGAGGGTAGCCGTGTCCAGGTGGAGGATATGCTCCCGGTGGTGGAGGACCATGAGCACCTGGAGCTGACCCATGAGCTAAATGTGAGAAAACTCCTTTGTTAGATGCATTATAATTGTTATTTTCACTTGCCATTTTCAGAATATTAAGACCAATAAATTAAAAATTATGATTGATGAGATTGAACAGAAGAAAAAAAAGGAGTTGAGAAATTGAAATTGTAGGTTGAAAGAAAAATTAGAGATCTTTGTTATTTATAAATGAAAGATCGAAGAAGAAACGTTGAAACTGAATAACTATAATGAACCGGAAAGATAGGTATACGTTAAAAATATCACCGCAGCAGATTGACAACCGTCAACCGCGACTATTTTCTTTGGTTGGTGTATTAAGAAAAGAAACTAACATTACAAAAATAGAATATAAGATAACTAATTTGAAATGGTTATTACGGTAAATTAAAAAAATGATGATAGGAAATAAATAATCCTTATATTTATAAAATTTTTTTTATTTATTTTGTGTGTGTTGGGGTAAGTTGATTTAAGTTGGCTTGGTATATAGTTGTTTTAGAACTAAAATAAATTTTTACTCTAAATGATAAAATAATAAGTTCACTAGTTTATTACAGTAATGTATAAAAGTTGATATGTTAATCGAAAGTTTATAGTTGATGATAACTTGGTACACTATTGGTTCAATAGGAAGACTCAACTTTAAATTTCAATTAAAATAAAATCTTTAAAAATTTAATTTAACTAAAAATAGAGTTTAAAAGTTGTGTATTCTCAATATAAATAAGTATTATATATACATCTAATCAAATTATTTTAAAGTGCTAAACAATAATAATATTTTAAAAATAAAAGTGATATTCTTTTTTTTCTTATAAATATATAAAATAACACAAACTAGTACATATATTTTCATAATGAAGTAGGTAAAAGAATGTCCTTTTTATTTATTTATTTAACTCAACTCTTAACAACCATAAATTTATTTATTTTTTAATATATTTTAAACTCCTTACTTAAAAAATTATGCAACCTATTTTTGAATTTTTTATGAGATATATTAATTTTTAAAATAACTCATTCAATTTTCACTTACCTGATATAACTTTAAAAAACTCAAATTAGATCTTATAACTTTATTCTATGTATAATTATTTTATTTATATTTATTTTTTTTAAAACTTAAATTTTGTTTTTAATATTTGAATCTAAAATTTTTAATTATCATAATTTAAAAGCAAAAGAATTATTAAAATATCATTAAAAAGTAAAAGGTAAATGAAATAAAAGGTATAAAACTAACTATTTGTTGTGTTTAATATTATTATATTTGAAGCAACGTTAGGCTGTTCAATTTCAATGGCATTTTGTTGAAAAAGACGTTCCTATCCATTCCATGTTCGCGAACCAAGTTGAAAAATCTTTGTTTTAAATATCTTTTATATATTATTATCAAGCTAATTTTTATTTAATAAAAATAAATGTAACAATAAACACATAATTCATTTTCAATATATTTATTGCAACATTTCAATTAACAATTAAATTAACATATTAAAAACATAAATAAATTAAAATAAATACTATAACTTATTATTATTTTATTTATGTTCAATTTATTATTTTATTTATTTATTTAATTTAATTTAAATTTAATATTTATTAAATTTATAATTAATGAATTAGTTTATTTTGTAAATATTAAATGTTAATATAAATATTTAGTTTAAAATGATTTAGTTTATTTTTTATACAAACGTTAATATATATATTTATTATATTTATATTTAGTAATTTAGTTTAAAAAATATAATAAATATTAAATATTAATTCAAATAAATCTTAATTAATATTAATTATTTAACATTATATTACATAAATAATGTAATTTGCCTATGTGCACCCTCGAGGACAGATACGAGGACGAGCCGAAAAATTGGCAGGCATATCGCCTGCGGGAATACCATCGGATCTGTTCGTCCTATGGGAGGATGCGCTTCCATATGTACGAGTTCTGCTTTTTGGAAGCCGGAATGAGGTTGCGGTTCACAGACTTTCAGATGGGTGTTTTTGACTGGCTGCGTTTAGCGCCCTCGTAGTTGCACCCTAATTCCATAGCGTTTGTCTGCGCTTTCGAGATCGTTTGTAGGTATCTCGAGATCGGGGCCATGTTGTCGTTGTTCTTCTGCCTCTTTCATCTGCAGAGGCAGACGGTGTGTGGTCGGCATGGCTGGGTCTCACTGAAGCAGTCGAGGAAGTTATTCCGGACGTATATGAACTCTATCCGAGACTTCAAAGCTCGCTTCTTTGTTGTCAGACCGGTTTCTTTTGATGCTTGCTCCTTGTTGTACGTAAAAGAGGAACAAATGGTCGACGGGGAGATGAAGGAGGTCTTGGTGCCGCGGGTGCCCTTGGAGTGGACCGAGGAGCACTTCTCGAGGGGCACCGACTGGTATATAGTGTGGGCGGGGACCTTAGAGGAGGACGATCTGGCCGGTTACCAAAGGATAGTTGGGTTTATGGCCAACCTGCCTCTGGCCAATCTGGTGACACCTGATGACTGATACATTCGGGATAGCCAGGGTCGTGTCTGCCAAACGGCGAGATTGATTAACACGGAGACCCTGCTTGAGTGTTCCTCGGAGGCTGAGGCCTTTACTTACCTAGGTGGTAGCCGCCTCTTGTCCTTCTTGTCTATTTTTCCCTTTTGCTTTATTGTTGACTCGTCCTTTGGTTTTTGCAGGAAATATGTCATCTGTCGAGGAGAGGGTGAAGAAGCTGGCCGCCTCGAGGAACGTGGTCGCTGCTGGGAAGACGCGGGTCGCCCAGGTGGTCGGGGAAGTCGTTGCGGATCAAGGAGGTAGGGGTTCCTCTTCGTCACTCCAGAGCAGCCAACCGCCCTCGTCTCAACGGGCAGCGAAACGGCCTAGGGACAACCGACCGAAAACATTGTCGACTTGACGCACGGGACACCTGAGGAAGGCTTCACCATTTCGCCGTGCCACCAGCATCTAGGCTTCTTCCATGGTGCGAGGTCGCCTAATATTCTTGTCGGGAAGGCGAAGGTGGTCCTCAGTACGGACCAGACAACTCGTCGGAAGGTTCTATCTGAGGATCTGGCTGCCATGATGCGGGTCTTTACGACGACGATGGTTTTGAGCGATGTGAGCTGTTCCTCGGTTGAACTGTCCAAGCTGCAGGGCGACCTTGCGTTCGTGCAGTTGAGGCTGACGAAAGTGGCCGGTGAGCTGGAGAAGAGCCAAAAGGATCTTATCGTGCATCTCAAGTGGGGGGATAGCGCCGAGGAGAAGCTGAAGGCCAGCTGAAGACGAGACTACTGACGATAATTTGATGGTCATCCAGGCAGATCTCCTCGGGAAGATTCGAGAATTGGAAAGCGACTGCTTGGAGGCTTTCGGGGTCGAGTTCTACAGCGTCGTGGAGCAGCTCAAGTTGGTTATCCCTGATGTTAGTCTGGTCGTGGTGGGGATAGGTCCCTTTCATAACATTGTTGATGGCCGAGTCGTCGATCCTAGTTCCGAGGTAGTTGAGAACCCTGCTCCTGTGGATAAGCCCGTGGTGGGGGATGAGGAGACTGTGTAGACTTTTGCCAGGCCTGCATGCCTGTTCCTAATTCTATATTGACTACTAGGTTGGTGCCTGTTTTTATGATATTTCTATATTTCGCTAAGTGTACGCTCGCCGCGTTTTGTATGATGATGTTTGTTTTATTTCTGCATGTTTGTATGCTTGTTTATTTTTTTCTGTACGTTTGCATGTGGTGAACACTCGTTTAATATTTCGTAAGCATGGGATGTAGCTCGACATTTTCTATCTGGTAGTGAAGAGAACTGACCGGTTTTACCGGGGTGGTTACTCAGCCAAGACGACAAGTTGTGCCTCAGTCGTGGTCTTATCCTTCTGGCTTGAACGTCCCATCGCGAGCTGGGCGTTCGACCGATTTCGATACTGCGGCGGCGAATCTCGGCCGTGGGGGTGCTGTCGAGCATAACGTTCTGCCTGCACACAAAAGGCATGTGCTTGCTATTTCGTTGAGGATGAGTAGGTGCGGTCGTACCAAGCCGACCTCCTGTATTCGCGAGGACTGTTTTCGCGGGCCGTGTCTTAACTGTAATATTTTTCCAGCTTTTCAGCGTTCCATGGTCGAGCTATATGATCCCCGTGGAGGTTTTCGAGGTAGTAGGCCACGTGCTCCATCTTGTCTCGGAAGCGATAGGGACTTCACAGTTTGCGGCGAGCTTGCCCTCGTGTAAGTCCTTTTGGTTTCTGCGCAGGACAAGGTCGCCGACCTGGAATTCACGTTTTATAACCCTGCTGTCGTGGCGAAGGACGATTTTTTATTTTAGGAGAGCCTCGTGGAGGGCTGCTCCCGTTCGGATCTGCTCGACTAGGTCAAGCTCTTCTCCTAGGGCTTCGTCGTTGGTCTCCTCTTCGAGAGGCGCTTTGGTCCTCCTGGACGGTTCTCAGATCTCCACGGGGATTACTGCCTCGGTTCTGTATGTGAGCCGGAACGAGGTCTCCCTTGTGGTCGAGTGAGGCGTCGTTCAGTATGCCCATAACACACTGTGGAGTTCATCGACCCATCCCCTCTTGGCGTCGCCGAGCCTTTTCTTCATACCTCGGAGAATCACTCTGTTCGCGGACTCGGCTAGGCCATTCGTTTGTGGATGTTCAACGGAGGTGAAGTGGTGCATGGTCCCGAGTTTGGTGACGAAGTCTCGGAAGTTTTTTCCGGTGAATTGTGTCCCATTGTCCGTGACTATGGAGAGCGGGACGCCGAATCTGGCGAGGATGTTCCTTTTGTAGAACCGGAGTATGTTCTGTGCCTTGATTTTGGCGAGGGCCTCGGCCTCGATCCACTTGGTGAAGTAGTCGACGCCCACGATCAGGTATTTATTCTGATATGAGCCTACGGTGAAGGGGCCGAGGATGTCCATCCCCCACCAGGAAAACGACCAGGGGGAGAAGAGCGACTTGAGCTCATTCGGTGGGGCAAGGTGCATGTCCCCATGCCGTTGGCATCTGCCGCATTTCCTGACGTGATCCTTTGTGTCCTCTTGCATTGACGACCAGTAGTATCCTGATCGGAGGGCTTTCCTC